ATCGTAATATGTCCAAAACTCACTTATTTAAAGAAAATAAAACAATCAATATAAGAAGGGAAGGGGTGTCAGATCTTTATCCTACTGGGGGCATCCAAAGGGGAATTTAAAATTTTCAAAACATAAAGCAGCATCTGTTTCTCAGCCAGAGCTTCAGGATTTGTCCCAATAGCAGTGTGATAGGCATGTCAGATACTGAGGTGCAGCCGGCTCCCAACAGATACCCAGCCACAGGATGAGGCCACTCTGGTGACTGCAGAATGGAGACTGAGAACCTGCTTCCTTGAGAACATAGTTGAACCTGTGCACCAGCCATCTTGGAAGCTTATACTACTTCTGGAATGCCTCTTCTGTGAGCATTTCTCTATCTTTTATGATCATCTGGGTGAAGATCTTGTTAATAACAGTTGAAAGCATCCTAACTGAAACAGCTGAAGCTAAACACTTGGTGGTCACCAGTCAGTGGGTGATGACAGTTAACGCCAGGGATTTTAAAGAGATTACCTGGGAAAAGAAGGGTGAGAATGGAGTTGTGGGCACCTTATACTTATGGTTGCATCCAATTCTGAATTCTAGCCATTGATTGAAGATTTTTTTTAATCAAACTCAATCTCCTTGAGTTTATCCTTCAACAAGTAGCCTTGTGACCCTATTCATTCTACAACTCACTTAGCGTTTCTGTATTTCAATGAGATCAGCTGTGAATTGGGGGTATATATTCAGTCTATCTATCTAAATGGGCAGATTCATGTTTTGGCAGGTTTGAAGCATATACCCTCTTGAGAGGCCCTCTTAAAAGGTGGGTACAGTCTTGGAAGGAACCAGTGCAAGTGAGAGGACCTAAAACTGCAAGGTACACCTTCCCCTGCTTCACTTCAGGGTTATTGTGTGGAATGAGTGAGCTAAAGTATGTAATGTGCTTAGCACATGTAACTGTTCAATAAAGGTCAACTGGCATGATTAGGAATAACTTAATATATAATGAAGGTCTAGATGATGGACATACACAAATATACATGCTTATTGAATTTTTATATTGCCAGTTTTAACTCTGCCTCTCACTTCTGAGCAGTGTTCCTCCTACCTCCTTCTCCCTCACTTTCTTTGTAGGGTTGATTTATCTATTAGGCACCCTGGGTTCAGTCTTGACTCACAGTACTTTTAGAAGCTCACAGAAATGTTTGTACTTCTTTTAAAATCAGAAGAAAAAAAAAGAATTTTTAGGTTACAAAATATTTTAATATGTAATAAAAGTATATTCATTGTTATTCCAATGCAGTAATAAAACCTAATTTGTAATATTTTCTTAGGAAGGAAGAGACCCACAAAGGCAAAAGTTTCCAGGGCTCACAAAAATCCAAATGCAGCTCAGCTCTGCTATCTTCTTCTCTCTTTTGTGTTGCTTTTTCTCCACATCCACCACCCCTTTCATTATTTTCTCCACCTTCACCTCTTCCTTGCCTCTCTCTATGCTTTAATATTTTACTTCTTATTATTTTCCTACCTCTAGCATTTTCTGGCCGATAGCCATATGACTTGTGTAAAATGAAAAAGCAAAAACAAGCATTTTCCTTGTGTTAACTTTCCTGTCTCAGCTGTTTAATTCCTCAGGTTATCAACTTTCAGAGTGAAGACACATAATCCTTTTAGAATGGAAGACTCAGAATAAAGAGTTTGAGACACACCTTCTGAAACTGCAGCCTCTTGAGAGCCGGATTCCCAGCAAAGAGTGTTGCCGCTCTGCATTTTTCACACTGGAACACAGTGAAAACGACAAACATTAATTAGGATTACAGAGCAGTGGAGGCTTACTGCGCTGTGACAGCTCACAAGAAAGAATGACGCTTCTTTTTTTGGATGCAAGTCTGAGTGTCATGTATGTATTAATTCTTGGACTCAAGCCAAGTTACCATGGGGGTGAGATGCAATCTATTATTTTTAGGTCATATGAGGTAGGGGTATATATAGGCTTTTATTTTAGGTTAAGAAGAAGGTAGGTTTGGCTAATTTTAGATGATCAAGTTTCCTATTATGAACCTTCCTTCAAAAACTAATTTTAAAATGTTATCATTTATAGTTTATGCTTATAGGGAACTTAATGTAGAACGCATTCCTTAGTTCAAAGGGATTTCACGCCTGGGTAATTTTCAAGTTTTATTGCTTTCCAGCTTACTTGCCTCACTTAGGATCCCTACTGCTTCTTAAATTTCACAAATACATGAGTTAAAGAAAAAAGCAGACATACCAAAAACAGACCGACACTAACTCCCTCTTCCAACAACCCCACTGTCCTGAGGGAGATATTCATAAAATAAGAAATAAAGTGGCAAGTTTCCTGTTTCATGAATGCCTTGAATTCTAATTAATTCTTAAAGACAGATTTAAAACAAAGACTTTTATGAATAATGTACAGATCATTAAGATTGCAATCTCTAAACTCTAGCATATGATATAAGCCTGTGTGATTCACCATATAAATTCACACTGATTGCTCAGGATGATTTCCAGATGTTTACTCTCTGCATGTAATTAAATTTTGGTAAAAATTATAACTTACTCAGCTGCTTTACAAAAAAACCCCAAAACTCAACAAAAACATGAAAGATGTTTTCACTGAGATATTGTTTCCCCCGCAGGAGTCCCTGCTCTCCTGACAGAAATCTCCTTTCACCAAAACCTCTGGCTTTCTTAAGCCCACTCCTGATTTTAACCAGAGAAGAGAAAGTTGCGCTAAGAAATGTGATGGATTGATCACTGTAAGCCCATCATTTGGGAGGAAATTACCACAGAATTTGCATGACAGAATAGAAAATTGGTACAAGCAAGTAAATTATTGAGTCTGTATTCACAGACGTAAAAGGGAATAGGAAAATATTACAATGGGCAGTAAAATTAAATCTTCAGGGAGAATCAAAGTATCATGGAAAAACAGGATATGAGCATTGTCTTTTTATGTGTTGGGAATTGAAATTATAAGTTTGAGAAAATCTGTGCAATGTATCAACTGGAACATGACAGTATAATGTACAACAGCTAACGAAGAGACAGATGCCACATAATGAAAAAGGAACAAAAGTCAGATACCCAAGAAAATAGTTCAGAGATACATATTATGTAGAAATTATTTAAATATATTAGAAAAAAGGAGATGGTAAAATAATCAAATATAGAGTAATAAACCAGAGGGGAAACACTGTGGGAAATGAAGAAGGAAGCAAAATAATTTGACAAGAGAGAAAGGATGAAGAAGTAGAATGAGAGCAAACACCAGGCATTGGTCCTGGAATGACCTGTTTCTCATGAAAAATGTATAATCTTAGAAGAGAATGATTTTCCTCCTCCCTTACTCTACTTTGATTTGTGTGTCTACAACACACTAAGCCCACTGAGACGTAGCCAATGGATTCGGAGTTTCCAGAATGATCAGCCAGACACTGCCATTGCAGACACCAAATGCAGTGTAAATAATTAAATATCAATGCAAGTCAACTAACGTTTATTGATTGTGTCCTCCCAGAATGAAGCACACATCAATATTCTGACAGAAGTTTAAGGTCTTGACAGAAAAGCAAAAACCCAAATGAGCACAATGATGATTTGGGTGGAGAGGGGGACTCAAAGAGGGTAAATATAATTTAGCCCAGAAGTTCTCAACCTTTTTTGGAATAATAAACTACACATATGAGTTTATGTCAGTCTTTACCCAGGAAATTAATACACATTTGTGTGTGCAAACAAAACTTTGCTTATATCAGCAGAGTTAAATATCTCCTGAAGTCTGACTGTGTTCACCCTAGTTTAAGATCTCAGAGTTCTGAATTTCATATAGATACAATTTTGAATAAGCCACTATTTAAACTACTTACCAATTCACTTCAGTTATAACCTTAGGATGTATTGGAATTACTAAATATAAGTAACTAAGGAGTGAAGCACAGATATTGTCCCTCTGTGAAATCCTTATTAAAACAATGACTTCCTCAATCTCCCAGCAGAGTTTGAATTTTTGGTTTGTTTATGTGTTATTTATACCTTGCTGTGTTCTAGAAAAAAACATTTGATTTAGAAAATGCATATAACACAAAATATAAAATAAATACTTGGAGGAGTCTGGGTAAAAGGAAAACATGGATAAAAAGACAAAATTCAAAGAGAAAATTTAACAGAGAAAATAGTCTTATGGTAGGCGTAAGTACAATTTTGTAACTTGCTAGTGTCCAAAGCTGAGACAGAGGCATTCTTAATTACAACACTCACAACAATCCATAAAATAAAAAATTAATCTGGTTGAATTATTGGTTAGGGCATGATAGGCTGCAAGTAAAAGAAAACCAAACTAATAATGATTTACATGAATTGGTGATTATTTTTCTCACTTAACAAGAAAGTCAACGGTGGGCAGTTTTCTAGTCATGTTATCAAAAACTCAGGCTTTTTCTCTCTGTCTTCTCTAGGGTGCTGATTTCATCACTTTTGTAGCATCATTGTCTCAAGTGAGCTGCTGCAACTCAACATCACATTCGTGACCGAGGCAGGGAGAAGAGGTGAGGACAGGCTAGAGAGCTCTCCTCCATATGGAGTTTTCATCAGGAAAGCAATTACCTTCCAAGAAGCTTCCTACAGATTTCCTTTCATGTTTCATGGCCAGAACTGGATCATATGAACACCCCTCCCTATAAGAGAGGCTGGAAAAGTGAGCATCTGCCTTTTTGGCCTTTAGAAAGAAAGGAGGGCAAGTGAAGGCCTTGGGAATGGCTTTGGGTGAGTGTCTTCTACACATGATATGAACAGTTTTTCCTGATGTTGAAAAACTCACTCCTGGGTCTCTTCAAAATGAGGATACTGTGTGACACTTCAGATTATGCCCTAAATATCAACCTCTGAAGTAAACTCAGCAGCAAGTTCCATCATGTTTCAGGGAACTTAATGTTTCTCTCTATGGGCTGATGGCTTAGGCTAAAAACACAAATTGGGAGAAGGCAGATCTATACAGAATCAAAACAATACAGCAAGTTCATAGCCCTGTTGTAATCTGGTTGAATTCAAGGGTAACATTTAGCCTATCTAGAGTGATGTATGGACAGCAGTGCCCTTGAACCAGCCCTTCATAAATACTATATCTCACAACTGAACTTTGAATAAGAATGGGACCACAGGGAGTTTAAGTTTGTAATCGCCAGCACAAACTTACTTGGAGAACAAAAGCCTGCATTGTTGATAAGGGCACATATATGAGATGTGATCAAACGATACGGTGAATGCTTAAATTAAAAACATGTATTACAGTAGAAGACACATTGCCATTAATCCTCCTCAAAATACCCCCCCTTGCTTCAAGCACACTTATCCTATCGTTCTTGCCACTTCCTGAAGCAGTTCTGGAAGTCCTCGTCTATGAGTGTCTTTAGTTGCACTATTGTGGCTGCCTCCATGTCCTGAATCATTTTGACTTTGGGGAAGAGCCAGAAGTCGCATGGTGCCAGATCCGGTGAATAAGGTGGATGAGGACATAATGTGTTGATTTGACAGAAATTGCTGCACCAGAAGTGATGTGTGACATGGAGCGTTGTCACGATGAAGGATGATTTATGGCACCCTTTAAAACACACATTCTCTCAACCGTGGCTCACACCCAACTGACTGCGCTGAACAAGCTGTAACTTGTCACACACTGTTACTAAGGTTCCATGTGCCACTTCCCATATTGAAGATCCCTGCCTTTCTGTTGAATGGCACTTGGCAGCAGCATTCACCATATTTTGTGATCACACCTCATGGATTCTTTAACAACCAACTAGTGAGAGAAGAGGGTAAATCTCCTTCTACAAATTCAGAAGCATCACCAACACGTACATGCCTGATGGATAAACACTCACTGACTGGTGAAGATGAGCCCCAAGAAGAAGTAATCATTTTCTCTACTGTACTCTCTACTTTGTCTCTATTTCAGTGATAGCATGTGCAGCCCAGATTTATGTAGCTTTATTGCTGGCTATGAGCTTACTCATTTCGTAGCCCCAGACCACGTTATTTTTCATAGTAGATTTAGGTATGATTTTACAAAAATTTAGAAATAATTTTTTTTATTTTTATTGAACAGTGGATGGTAGTTGCTTAGGTAATATTGGAGGCACAGCTTTACACAAAGGAATGCATGACAGTTTACTTCATGCTATTTTCAGTAGTAATTATTTGAAATAAGCAATATTTAAATTCTTACTGAAGACCGGAATATTAGATGCAATAAGCTAGACCTAGAACATAAAGGCTCAGGAGAAGGAAGAGGTTTTTTCCCTTGAAGAACTTGTGAACTAGTTGCGGGGAGGGGCACATAAAACATATGTCTGAAAAAGGAAACATCACTTTGTTTTAATAAAGAGTAAATTCTACATTGGGCAGGGGAGAAAAGCACAATTTAATTATAATGCTTTTGTGTTTTATTTCATGTTTAAGGTCTTAAGGTCTTTTGCTTGATAAAAAGGATTAAGGACTATGACTGGTTTTATAATTGGAGGTGGTACGACATAAAAAGAGTTGGTGAATGGGGTTTCCTGATGTGAAATTTTAAAATATACCTGAGAAGTATATTCTTCATCATTTATAATCAAGCTACATCTTTTGCATTAATTATGGGTTTAGATTAGAAACAGAAACAATTTGCGAGTTGTTTTTTATTGATATAGACATTAAGGAGGCATTCCCATCTTATTTGGGGTTTAGTCACAAATGGAAAAACAACAGCATACAAGTTACATACTTAGTTGCAAGAACAACAGGAAATGAACCATGAACGAGACCTATGGGGAGAACAAACAAGCTTGCTCACTGTCACAGAAAGTTACAGAATTAAGAGGTGGGATGTCAGTTAGCTTGGAGCATGAAATTCTGGGCAAAGAATTTCAGACCTCATAAACTGACAAATACAGAGTGATGTGCTTTTTAAAATACTCCTGCTATTAGATTATAAAATCTTTGAGAGTGATAACTGTCATGAAGGTGTACACTTATTCACTCGATAAACACTATGGCACTTTGGGGGATCAAGAATAAATAAGAAATAATCCTTGCTCTGTTATGGACCATGGTCTCCTAGAGGGGAAATGATGTTTATACAAAAAGCTGTAATAGAAGGTAGACTGTTTTAAATTCCATGGCAGGAATATAGATCCAGTTCAGGGGACTCTGATATGAAGGATTATCTCCAGCTGTATGGTATCAAGAAAGGCTTCATAGAAGAGGTGACACTTGAGCTAGACACTAGGTATTAGCAGCACTTTGACATAGGGAGACAGAAAGAAGAACATTCTAGGGAGGAGGAACAGTATAGCTAAAGTGTTGGTGACAGAAAAGAGAGGCATATGTATAGAAAGTGAAAAACAATCCAATTTTCTTGGTCCATAAGCTCATTAAATAGAAAAATGAGAGATAAGGTTGAAAACATAAGTTGAGGTCAGATTCTAGAGTCTGTTAGGTTTAAGTGAAGGCACTTGGACTTTATTCAGCAGATAATGAGCAGCTATCGATGTTTTTTTGAGTACCTGATAGACGCTGAACATGTGTTTTTTGAGTGGATGAGGCGTCAGGCGATCTGAACCATGCTTTCACTCTGTACACTCTGAAGTGCCTAATACAGTGTTAGGATGTAATAAGTATACAATAGTATATTTTAATTGCCTGTAGAGAAATACATGAGCAGGGAAGCCATCTAAGAAAATTATTTGAGAAAGTTTGACATCTTACAGGGAACAAGAAAATGATGGACCAGATGTACTCTGTTGGCACTCAGTATTCATATCTATCTCCTTTTTTGTGCTCCCTGTATCACAGGGGCTAGAATACTAGCAACTACATTTCTCAGGCTCCCTTGCTGCCAGGGTTCGAGATGCCTCCCATGAGATTTGGAAGATGAAATGCAGGTGGAGGCCACTTTTGTTTCTACAGCAATGGCAGGTTCTGGCAGAAATGACTTCACATCCCACTGTCAAGTGGCCAGCCTCATGAATGTGGGGCAACTGTGAAATTGGCGGCAGTTACTTGACCTCTGGGTGTTGACACTGATTCCTGACCTCTGGTTCACAGCTACGGGGTTATAACCTCCAAATTTAGCAGAGGCATGATCTTTCTGTCTGCCAGGGTCTCCTCACTTACACGGCTGCAGCTTTCCAATAATTTGGTAGCACCCAATGCCCTGTATTAAGTTCCTTTCTACTTGACATACCTAAAATGGCTTCTGTTTCTTGTGCTGAACCCTGACAGAAACAGGAGACAAGGAAAATTGCACAGCAGAGGGAGAGAGTTATTCAAGGATGAGTCATGATGGGATGAAAAAAAAGAAGAAATTCAAGTCAAAGATCCTTTTGTACCACCAAGGACATCAATATGGCTTTCAGCCTGCTTTAGTGCAGCCCCTTGTTCTCAGTCCTCTCTTTCATCTACTTTAAAAACAAACACTTTTTCCCAATTACAAAAATAATATATGCTTATTGTAGAAAACTTGAAAAATACAGTAGTCTTGTCTTATCTGTGGGGGATACGTTCCAAGACCCCCAGTAGATGCCTGAAACCGAGGATAGTGCCGAACCCTACATATATTGTTTTTCCCTATGTATACATACCTATGATAAAGTTTAATTTATAAATTAGGCACAGTAAGAGGTTAACAACAATAACTAATAATAACAGAACAACTATAACAATGTACTGTAGTAAAAGTTATGGGGACAACTTTGGAGCCATTATTAAGTAAAATAAGGGTTGCTTGGAAACAAACACTGTGATACTGCAACAGTTGATCTGATAAGTTAAAAGGCCACTAAGTGACTAATGGGTGGGGAGTATGTAGGGCCTGGGTACACTGGACAAAGGGATGGTTCATGGCCCCAGGTTAGATGGAGCAGGATCACATAAGATTTCATAGTCAGTGCAACTTAAAATTTAGGAATTGTTTATTTCTGGAACTTTCCATTTAATATTTTCAGACCATTGTTGACCATGCGTAACTGAAATCATGAAAAGTGAAACTGTGGCTAAGGAGGAAATACTGTACAGAAAATTATTAAAAAGGAAATAAAAATCACCCATCATTCTACCGGAGAGAGCTTCTTGAATCAGTAAGGAGACGGTTCATCTATAAATGATATAGCAGTAGCTTAAGTGAAGTCAACGTGTATTTCTTTTTCTCACATAAACAATATTTATAGGTAAGCAATCCAGGAACGGTATGGTGGTTTCATGACCATCAGGAACCAGGCTCTTTCTCTGGTGTAGTTCTGCTATTTTTGACACATGCTTCCACTTCACTGTCCAAGATGACTGCTCTAGCTCACTCTATCATATGCGCATGCCAGCTGGTAGGAAGGGAGAAGGACAAAAAAGCTCATCCCCTCTCTTTCGGGAAATCACATGTGACATTTTGCTTATGTTCCTTTGTTCCCAGTGGTCAACATCTATTTGAAGAGGAAGGTGAGAAATGCAACCTGTATTCTGCACAGCTGTGCATTCAGCTAAAAATGGGGGGTTCCATCCTAAGGAAGGAGACAAGAAAGGGTGTCGGAGGACAGTTCCCACTCTGTCCCATCACTGTAACTAGCCATCCAGTCCTCCCTTACATGGAAGCTTGTAGTTCTCCGTTCCTGGCCTCTCAGGTCCCAGCACCACCCTTATCTCAGAAATCCTACTGCTGATGTCATTTTTTTGTCACTTTGCCCTCTGCCCCCTGCCTGGAGCATTTTACTTGGAATATTTCTCTTAACATTAGTTACTTTTAAAATCTTTCTCTGACTTCCTGCCCACCCCATCTTATCTGTCTACCTGAAAATGTAACACCTCCCTGGGCTCTTCAGGCTAAATTTCTATCATGCCCTTTTCTAAAGCCATCTTGACCTGGCTTAGACAATAGATCCTTTTCCAAGAGGACTTCAGGCTGTATTGCCCTTCTCCTGACCCACCATTCTATTTTTCCTTCTTAAAGTCCAGTCGTTCTTGGAAACAGCATCTTCCTTGAAATTTCCTGAGCCAACTGCAGCCCTTTGTGCACTGCACATGAAGCTGTGATCAAGGTCCCCTCCTCTCTCTGACCAGGGCTGCAAGTCATCTTCTCTACTGTAAAGTGCATCTCTACCAATTTCCAGCCAGTATTCCTTAAGGGTCCTTTTCAGTCTGTGAGTTTTCTACAACCATGGTTTTTCTTTTCCTTTTCTACTTTTTCTGCTCATACATTAAAATCTTTTCAGGGACTTGAAGCCCTCTGATCACAGAAATGTATGAAAATAGACAGCTTGTACATTCTGTTGATGAACTTTCTCTCTTGGCTCGCTTTAGGCGAAGCAAGGCTCAAGGAACATCTTCCTGCATCTTCTGAGACCTACCGGCTCTTATCTACATTTTGAGCTTCCCGAAGCTTCAGGCTTTGAGATGCAGCCATAGACAGTAGACTTACAGTGCTATTCCCTGGAGAAATTTCCTGGCTGTGAAAGCTCCTATGGCCTAAATAAGGTGGGGATGCTTTCCCAAGGAAGTGGAGGATCAGTCCATACAATTCAATATCTAATCCCTGTGCGTGCAGCAAGACAAGGAAAGGAGAGTCTCCTGGGCCTTCAGCAATCACAATAGTCTAGGAGGTTATGCTGCTGTAACAAACAGCTTTCAAATCTTAGTGGCTTTAAACCAAAACGGTTGCTTGCTTGTTCTTTCTACTTGTCCCTTGTGTGTTGGCAGGATGACTCTGACAACAGATATTTAAAAACCCTGGCTGATGAAGAAACTCCATGTCAAACACTGGTGGTCTCCATTCCAGAGAAGAAAGGGAGCTCTGCAGTGTCTTGTATCAGTAATTCAGTACTCCAGGCAGGAGGAGACCCATGTCACTCCTACACATTGGCTAGAACCAGTCACATGTGGTCCTATCCAACCACAAGGAGACCAGTAAGGGCTCTCTACCATGTGCTTAAAAGTGTAAAAAACTGGAAATATTTCGAGAACAGCACTAATGATATCATAGAACCTAAGAAAAGTCTAGCTAACATATACAAGCCACTATCTGACCCAGGCTAACTTGAGGCAGTTGCAATTCCCATTTCTAAACCTCTTTGTGTTTTAATCAAAGGAAATCATTTTCAATGTTTTGTTTCTGATTACTCCTCATGCCTCTCAAATTGTTCTACTTCAAGGTGAAATGTTTTGAGAACTGTGGTGCAAACCCCCAGGCCTGTCTCAGCTTCCTTGCTAACATCCTTGGCACTTGGACTCTTCTTGAGCCTTGTACCCACCCCCACCCCCANCACCCCCAATCCCACCCCCACCGCCAGCCTCAGTCTCACCCCACCTCCCTTGTCACCCTGGGAGCTGCTTGCATGCATGACTGTTTTAGTGGATGGCAGCAATACACAAGGGCACCTCATTGTTGGAAAGGAACTGCCTTCTGCCTGCCAAGGACAAATGCAGACACACAAAGCAATATCAAGCAAGACTTCACATCAAAGGGAACCCTGCCTGGGCTTGCCAAGAGCGGAGCTGCCTCTGCACCTCTCCCTTCACTCTCTAATGTTAGTCTTCTTAAGGCTCAAGGAGCCCATGGTAATCCTGGCAGTTCTGTCATTCACACAGCACTCCTGTTCACTCTGACACCTGAAGCTCAGGCTTTCCCTGAATCTGGCCTCGACCACTTGAACAGAGCAGAGTGCCAAGGGTTCAAAAATGTTGGCAGATTAGGAAGGGGAATCCATGAGAAACATTTACCCCGTGAACTCTGAGTAGGAGAACAGAATACTTCACAACTTGTTCAGTGCAACCACACAAAGAGTAAATTAGTCCCTGATGAAGCCTTCATGGAAAAAAGCACGAGAAGGAAAACTAAACTGTTGAGGAAGGGAGGATGTTCTGTGTGCAAACGTTGGGTAGCATTAGAACCAAGGCTGAAATGAAGACTGGCTGTGCTAGGCATTCAGACGTGATGGGGAGAAGTGATGTGCCAAAGCGAGGCTCCAGAGAAACTTCGAGTTCTACTTTAGGATCAACATCAGAATTCAGGTTCTGTTGCTTTAAGGAAAAGAAACTTCTGGGTTTTGGAAGGAGGATGAGGAAAATATAGAAAAGAGAACTCACAGGGACAGAGAAAGAAACAGAAACTTTATTTCAGGACACAGGTAAGGCTTTCTGTTCTGGATGCTAAAGAACTCTTTTGGGAAGATACATTAATCATCAAAATAGAATGGAAACCTTTGGAAAGTTTTAAAGTCAAGTATTATGAGAGCTGGAGGGGAAACTTAAAGATTGTCTTTTCCAAATTATTTTTTTGAGTTAAGAAAATCTGAGGCTCAGGGATGTCAAGGGCCTTTTTTGTGGTCACACAGCTGGTTTCTGGCAAGGCTGTAGCTAGAACCCTGAGCTCCTGACTCGTAGGCATGGTGGAGCAGTCCCAGACATGGCATGGGATCAGTGCACAGGTCTGAAACCTCATCAAGTACAATATTTTTTAACACAGTGGCTTCAACCCTTCGACTAAGATCTTCCACTGTGGCCAACCCTACTGCCCTGTTCCAACAGCTTCCCAGAATGGTAGTAATTAGAGCAAAAAAAAAAAAAATAGTAATGGATAGGGCCCAGAGAAAATGTCACATTTCTAGAAGTAGGAGGAGGGTGGAGATAATGCATTTATGAACTTTTCTACTTTCAGGCCATTTCATGTGACCATGGGTCCACGAAGAGAACTCAGGCATTCCATGATGGGGAAAAAAAGTTACATCTTTTCTAACCTCCCACTGAAAGGCGACATTTCTTTCATTATGAATGTAGACAACAAATCATGACAGAATTTGCAGTACTTGGGCTTTGTCACTAATAAAAATAATAAATATTCTCATATCAATTGTGGTAGATACCTTGAAATATCTTTACCCTCATTACCACTTTGCAATCATGGTAGTTGTGAGATCTGCCACTAGCTCTTTTTTTTTAGTGTTTAATAAATAAAAACATATATTACTATGCCACAGATTTTTATAAATATTTGATAACAAAATTTCATTGTAATTAGACTTCTAATTCTATGTATATTATTTTATGCTGGTAAAGGCATTATTCCGAGAGGGAATCTGTAGACTTCTCCTGCCTGTCAAAGGGGTCCTGGCAAGAAGATTAGGAACCCCTGACGTGTGAAGGGTGAATAAGTGTCAGGTTGCCAGTGGATACCCATGTCCCTCAGTCCCAGGTCCTTGTCCCATCCCCCTGTGGGCTCAGAGTGACAGAGATGCTCACTTGTCATTCTGGGTTGGAGAACTGCCAGTGTCTCTTGCCACAGACTGCTCCTAATTCCAGGGCGCGCCAGCCTTTGAAAGCTGGTATGACTACATTACAAAACGTGACAGGAAAGAACCCATTGTTTGGCATTATTATTAAAATGAAGGCTGAGAGGGATTTTGTGACATTTATATTGAGAGAGTTGTGTTCACACGTCCCAGGGAAGTTGACTTTTCTCAGGGAGTCGGCACTCCAAATTCCACTAAAAAAGAAATCTTTTTTTTTTTTTTCAGAGATGGCAAAATCTGGTTTGGCATGGCAGATAAATGTTCAGAAAAAAATGAAATTTTAAAGTATCAAGCCACCATTTTTCACGTCTTGAATAGGCAAAGAGTTTGAAGATGATGATTCTCTCAAGATTGGTAGGGTGTAACGAAGTGAGTATTTTCTTAAGCTGCCCATAAGACCAAGTTGGCATAACTTTTCTAGATGGCAGTTTGGGCTCTATATTTTAAGTGTTTTCACCCAGTAATTTCACTTCTAGGCATTTATCCTACATACAGAATTACAAAGATATTTTTTTCAAAGATATTCATCAATATAGTATTTGTATCAGTAAAAACTGGAAACAACACGAATGCCAACAATATGAGGTTGTTTCAATAAATCATGGTACATCTGCAGGACAAATTCTTATGTAGCTAATTTTTTAAAATAGCCATTCTGAGAATATTTAATGATATGGGAAAATGTATCAATATACTGTTAGGATTAAAATGCAAGACATACATCTACATGTGTGAAATAATCCTGGTTTTTAGTTTGAAAAATATTTATTGTATTTCTTTGCAATCTTCCTTATATGCTTGTGCATGTAGTAAAAAAATAATAAAACTGGAAGGAAATGTATGAACATATTGTAATCTTTGGGTAGCAGTATTTTAATTATTTTTATTTACTTCCTTATACTTTTTTAATATTCTGACATGAGATAAAGCAGTAAGACATTGTTTTGTAAGTGATGAGCTGGTGCCACATGAGCTGAGGGCTGTTTGCAGTGCCTTCTTGTTGCTCCAGACAAAAGTTTGTTTTGCTGGTTGCTACTGAGTGTATTTTTCTCCTAACCTTTGTGCTCTTTCTCCACCATTGGCTTCCAGATGTCTGATTTCACCAAGTTCAGGGCACTCTACTCATGTGCGTTGGCCCCTCGAGCTTGGACAGAAAATTCAGAAACGACATCAAGGCTGCCAATCTGATAGAGTCAGCACCAACATGAATGTCAACCAGAGACCTCTTGGCATAATGAAAAATAGTTCAATGGGGAATTTGAAGCTTTCGTAAACAAAGTGAGGATTGAGCTTAAAATAGGGTGAGAATTTGAGGAGGCATCTGTCCCCTTCTCTCTTCACCTCTGACTGCTTCTGCCTTCTTGTGCTTTGCGCCTGTTGAGAGCAAGGAAGGAAGATGAGAAATAATTCTTCTAGAGCCACTTAACCTTTTGCTGGTATTTGTTTAGAAGTGATACATTTTCACATGTCAGTGATTATTTAGCATGTAGTGTGTAAACTGGCTAGGAAAAAATCTATTTGTGTAGATGAAGACATATTTTCAATGGACTTTACCTTGAAAGTGAAAATTGTGAAGGTAGTTTTCTATATGTGAAAATTTGTTTCATGGTTCTATTATTTGCAATGCCATTTTGAATTTTGAGAACACTAGAGTCTGTATTCCATTCCTCCTCTCTTTCTTAAACTTGGATCAATTTTCTCCTGCGTGAAGTTTAAAGTAATAAAAGCTGAGAAACCATTTACTCAATGCCTCCTGTTGCATAGCAATCTAAACAAACAAGCCCCTTTTTTTCTGTTAAGAACTTTCCAATAAAACAAATCACAAAGGTTGTGTTTAGAAAAAAGATGATTTCCAACCCTCCTTTTTTTTTTTTCAAAGCTTCCTTTAAAAAAAATAGAGGTCAAAGACTGCAGGCAAAAAACTCAATTGACTTTTTAGTGAGTCACTTCTCATGCTACTGCAGGGGTTTGAAAACTTTTTCCTTTGCGGTGAGGCCAGAGAGGCTGAGCTGGACATGTGGAGACCAAGCCAACCATAGCAGGAAAAACAACAAGTAATAATAAGCATTAAGTGTTCAGTGTCTTCCGTGGGCCAGTCACTGTGCCATGCAAATGATCTAATCCCATAACACACCTCTCGCATTGGACATCTCCCATTTGCAACCACCGGGTCCACTCTTGACTCTGTTCTCTGCCCGGAACGATGACCTGCGTGGAGTGAGACAATGGGGTCCCTTGCCTAAGGGTATTGGCAGGAGAGAGGCGGGAAAGACGGGTATTTATTTTCCTGGCTCTTTCCCTGCTGGTTGTGGCAGTTTAGCTGTGCCCCACCACCCATCGTCACCGCTCCTGCCAGGCAGCCCTCGCCGAGCTCAGGAATTGACCCTCTGCCCCCTCAGGCTTCATGGTGGTAAGAGCTGCCTGCCTGCTGTTGATGTTTCTAGAAATGACTCTATCTCCCATGGTAGATTCCAGTCCTACCCGACCTCTGCAAAGAGTATCTTTGTTAACCCTCTCCCATCACCCCTTTTGTTTTCTGCTCACCTGTTACCACTGCTACCATCCTCAAGGAGACCACTGTTATTTCTTGTTAAGAGAATTGTAATAGCTTCCTAATTGACGCTGGCTTTCCAGCTTATTTTAGATACTCTTGCAAAACAAATCTTTCTAAAGCACTGCTAAGACATTCAGTCGACCCCCACTGCCCACAGGAAAGCATTCAAACCTGCCAGCTTTAGACTTTCCTGAGCTCTGAGCTTTGGTGAAGCCATTTGTGCTCCATCTGTCAGACAGAGAGGCACTTTTGTCATTCAACGTGACTGCTCACACAGCAAACGGGTCTGCGCAGGCCATTTCTAAAAGGGCACTCATCCTTCAAGATGCTCGCTCTTACAGCCCCATCCTTCCCGTCAGCCTTCCTTCCCCGATGTTCCTTGTGGAATGTCTGCCTATGCGATTTACTGGGAAATCCATCAGATACCAACCACCTTGCCGTGCATCCTCTAGTGTTTGGGAAACATTACTTACATTTTAAATTATTTGTCTTTTGAAAATCATAGGCTTTGGCACAGAGTACTTTTAGCCTTGACTGTAAGCTTTGCCAGCATTGGAAACTCACACAAATTATTAACCTGGCAGAGCTTCCCTTCACTCAAAAATGAAAGGGTAATAATAATACTTACCTTACATGGTGTTGTGAGGATTAAGTTAGCATATATAAAACTCATATTACAGGGTATGAAAGATAAATGCTATTTTACTTCTCTCTCTTTTTTTTTCTCTTCCCTTCAACTAGTGCTCAAAACTAGCTAACATTTATTGAGTGTTTATTACGTGTCATGTACTACTGTAAGCATTTTGCATCCATTAATTTACAGCAATCGTATGTACTATGATTCTCCCTGTTTTACAAAGACGTTAAGAAACTTGCCCAAGGTTTACCAGGACGTGAGATGAGAGCACTCATTCACAACTCAACTGTAGACCGTGTGAGGTAAAGATCAGATACCAAATTTCTTTCTATCTTTCACAGTTCCTACAATCATGTCTTACATATAGTCAGCGTTCAATAAATGTTGATTTCATTCCAAGAGGTAGAGGGAATTAAGCTAGTGTTGCAATAGGCAGGGGTTAGAAATGCACACGGTCGAAGCAGCAGCAGCTGCTTCCACAAAGGGAGGCGTAATGTGTGCAGCTGAAAAAGAGCTAAGATGCAAGGCCTGGCAACTGAGGAATGCGCTGCTGCCGGATGTCAGAGAGCAGCCAGCTGGGGGCGAGGCAAGAAAGAGGAGAACCTGAGTGGAGAGGCCAGCAGCAGCGGAAAGCTGCACAAATGAAGCCTGAACTCCTTCTCTCTCAGCAACCCTCCCGGCCCTGAGGAGACAGTAAATCTCCCTCCATCCTGTGGTTATACCACTTGAGCATCTTTAAAAACACTTAGCCCAAACCGATGGGCCCTTTCCTGCTGCCTTTCTTACCTGAGCCAGCAGCCTCAGAGCTATCTGGGATTTCTCTTAAAAACACCCAGATCTCCAGGAACCGTCTTCCACCAACACAATTGTTGCTCACGCCAAGCATGGGACATATGGCCGAGCATCTGGGAGGGGACAGATCGGCCAGGAGTGCTGGCAAGCAACACATGCTTTCATTAGAAGGGATGTGTCACCATAAATCATTTTGTAAATGTTCCCTCCCTTTCTCTCTGCATAGCGAAACATAAAGGAAGACGAATTACCCAAAGCACCATAATGCTGTTCGAATATGCCAAAGCTTGTGCCTGAGACACTTACTGACATTTCCTTAAATATCTTTTTAATATCTTGGCCAGGTCAGGCATACCAATGGCATTACAGAGCTTGCAAATCAATGCCCCAGCTGTTTTGGTTTTTTAATAAAACTGAATGTGATCTCTTTTAAATGATTGCCTTCCCCCAACCTCCCCACCCCTC